CACAAACAAGCAAAAAATGGCTCATTTTTCTCTCATTTTTGCCCTTCCCAGCCCCCAGGAGCACTCTATAAGCCTCCTAAAGGCTATGCATGGCCATTTTTTCAAAGGAGGCATGGTTTCAGTAAGCCAAAAATGCTGTCTTCAGTATATAAGACGCACCCAGATTTTCACCCTCTTTTTTGACAGAAAAAGGTGTGTGTTATACTCTGAAAAATATGATAATTGTCAAGCACCCGAATGTAAATCATGTGACCATGGGGGATGCTGCAGAGGTCGCAAGTGTGAAAAATGATCATAAGCCATTTTTTTCAGTGCTGCTGTAACTTCAAAAAGTCACTAAATGAACGGCTGTAAATCGAGCTCTGCCTGCAATAGTAGGAAAACAAAAATTAAGTAAAATCATGTACTACTCTTAATTTTTACTGCTAAATTAAACTACTGATGAAATTCACAGGGAGAAAATAGGTTTCAAACAGGAAGCTCAACATTATCTTCATTATGTGAAGATCATTATCTTCACATAATTTCTCAACACCTTCCTAAAAGACTATTTTGAATTTATATCACCAAAAGACAGCTTTTTAGACATCTTAACATCTATTATGATAACATCTATCATGCTACTGCTTGTAAAAGTGAATTATTCACTCAGGCATCTGCTTAGAAAAATTTGTGGTTGAAAACAGAGAATTACATTTACAAGAAGGTAGAAGAAGAATTAAGAGTTTTTGATCCATTGTGGAACTATCTTCCTTTGGCTAACTGTAGGTCTAAGGAGGCAATCACCTTTTAGTGCCTTGTTAGCAACTTATAGTTAGAAAAACAGGTTTCTGGCCCTCTGTCAGCACTTAATTTTTAATTTAAATATCTGCCATTCTGGTTCCATATAGCTCCCACGCAAGGCCAGAAAAAGGGCCTTGGTATTTACCTGATACGCCTCTTCTCATAGTGGGGGAGGAATATCCAGGATGAGTTGACCTTATCCTCTCGTTGATCGGACTGAGTTAGATAAATTCTTGGTATACGTCCCTGGTCCACCAGGCACCGCCCAGTTATTGGCGAAACTCTATCCAACCTGTTGTGCCATCCACTCCAGACTTTTGTTAAGGTTTCAAGTTCTTTATTGAATTATAACTTGAACATATTAATGCAACATCCATCATAACACATGTTACATTACCATGACAGGGAGGGTCTGGATACTCCTCCCCCACTATGAGAAGAGGTGTATCAGTTAAGTATCAACACCCTTTCTCCCTAGTGACGGGAGGAGTATCCAGGATGGGACGTACCAAATCTAACACGTTCCTAGGGAGGGTAACATACTGAGGGCCCATGGCCAAACTACGCCTGGTGGGGTGTGTCCCCCGTCCTGTGAACCACCCGTAATACCCTGCGACCAAACGAAGCCTCTGCCGAGGCAAAGGTATCCAACTTGTAGTTCCTCACGAAGGGTGAGGGGGAAGACCACGTGGCTGCCCTACATATCTCTGTCAATGAGGCCTGTGTTGCCCAGGCCGCAGTGGTGGCCGCACTTCGTGTGGAGTGTGCTGTGATGGGGCTCGGTGAATGTGTGACCTGGGACTGGTAGGCCGTAGCAATGCAGGTTCTCAACCACCTGCCTATGGTGGTGGAGGTCACCTTCTTGCCCAGAGACCCCGGTTGGAATGAG